ATTTTTGCAGTGGCTGGATCGATCCACAGCTGAAAAATGAACTACTACTTTGAAAACCCTAATCCAAACCCTAATTATGGCGGCGTGAATAATATGGAGGTGGTGGCTTCTTCCCCATCTGAGTTCATCTTATCCGATTACCTCATGTTCGAGGATGTTGCAGAAGACGATCATCGTCAAGAACATGATTGGTCACATCAGAGCACAGAATCATCGGAGAAGGCGAACAGTACTGAGTTTAGCACTGGTGCAACATCGGACATCAGCTACAACAACATGCAAGTGAATTATATTTATATTATTAATTAGCTACTTTCTCTCTCTACTGGTTTTATGTATGTCTGATTCTGCGTTCATTTGAACAAGACGAAGAAGAAGAAGAAGATGATGAAGCTAATGATGTTTCTTCTGATCTAATTTATTATTAATTGTTGTGTTTGGATGTTTTGACGTTGTACAGGGAATGTGAAGATGGGGGAAAGCGAAACATTAGAACACAAGTGACGCAAAGGATCGCGTTTAGGACAAGATCGGAGCTTGATGTTATGGATGATGGATACAAATGGAGGAAATACGGAAAGAAATCTGTGAAGAGTAATCCAAATCCAAGGTAATTATTAATTAAATTCATCAAATATCCAAATTACTATTAATTAATTATATGAATATTCTTTGATGCATTGGTAATTTAATTAGCTATATAGTGGGGCTTCATTAATATTATTATTTATTCCAATTTAAGTTTTTTTAACTCAGATTTACATGAGCATGCGAATCACATTAATGGATCCCACCATAGGTTCTCCTTATCGGCTCTCCATATACATCAATCTCCATAATTCATTTAATTTAATTAATAGTACATGCGCATTTATTATTACTTAAAGATTTCTTGAAAAAACATCATAATGTTTCTTTGTACTGCTTTTGTACCAAACGTAGGAGTGGGAGAGATGGTTTTCATTTTAGACCTAATTAATATCTTAATTTATTTTATTCCTTATGTGATTATATCTACTATTTTTTAAAATTAATTTATTTAACTTATAAACTGATGTATAATTTAATGTTATATAAGGGCATCATGTCATATTTATTAAAATTAAGTAATTTATTTCACTTTCTTAGTTTACCTAAATTAATGAACAATATATAATTGGTTTAATATTATAATTAGTGATGTTTCACCATTAAAATATGAAATGATGACAATTAAATAAATGAAAGAGATTACTACTTGCTCATAAGTAAGACCCCAAATAATATATAGCTATAGATTAGTTAATTTAAAGTCTATGTTTGGTAAATAAATGTTGAGCGTGAGTGCCCAATGGACCCCAGATTTCATGTGCATGTGGCTGCTCATATTATTAAATGCGAGCCGATTAGTGAAGCCTTTGTCTGCACAGCGACTGTGTGGGGGTACTGGGGTACATAGTCCAAACCACACAAACCAACAAAACATGTGTGGTATTCAATTCTGTCCTAATAAAAAATTGTATTGTATTCATGAACTTAACTATATTAACTTAACATTTAATTTTGATGCCAAATATAATATATCTGTCTCATATTTATTTATTTTTTTAAATTAGTTCTGGTAATAGTTGCACATGTTAAATATTTTATTAAATGGTAATTCTAACTATTACACATAATTAGTAAGAGTATTTTAGGGAAGACAACATCTGTTTATTACGAATAACTAATTTAACAGACTTTCTTGATATACTTAAATTAGTCAACTGGTTGAAGATAGTATATAACAACCAAATAGTATTAAAAAAATTATTTAAGCTAGCTATTTGTAATATACATATGTGTTAGTTTAGAATACTCCTGATCATGTGCATTATAACTACCATATGATAAAAAACTCCTTAATTACACAAATACAATTAATAGAAATATTTTTTTAAAAATTATAAATTTAGGACTCAGTGGATTGAAGTGGACGTTAGGTTCAAAGTAAACTTTTTTTTTGGTTATGCATAAGCATCTTCTTATGAAAAGCAATCTTGAGTAAATCCTTTTATCTAACTTTATTACGACCGACAGTAGTATTCCGCATGGAAATATAGAATGTCTGACCAACCAAAAAGAAAAAAAAAATTATAGAATGAGTGTTATCTCCTGTCTCTTTCTAAAAATTATGGAAATATATAATCATGCTATCTCCTGTCTCTTTCTAAATTTGTATGATTTCATAATTATGAAAGATTCTATATATCTACAAAGCGTGCCCTTCAATTTGATTTAATTAATCATGCCATAATCATGTTGATAATTAAATGGCAAGTTATAAAATTTCATCCCATTTAATCTACTATTCACATAACCAACATATTATCTCTGTGATTTTACTACACCATATGACCTAATTAATTTTTTTGGCCTCGTGTGACCTAATTAATTAATTAACATCCCCATAATTACGTGCATGGTAAACAGAGACCTAATTAATGTGCACGTATATTTCTTTGTAACTCAAGAAACTTGAGCATCGATCTATATTCCATTGCATGCCTTTTTTTTTTTTTTGAAAAATGAAACAAACTTAATGTGGAATATATGCAGAGCTATTAATTAATTAAAAGCAATAAAAGTTAGGATGTGAATTTAAAATGTGAATATATATATATGATGAAACAGGAACTACTACAAGTGTGGAAGTGAAGGATGCAATGTGAAGAAGAGAGTGGAAAGGGACACAGAGGATGCGAACTATGTGATCACAACCTATGAAGGCGTTCACAATCATGAGAGCCCCTCTTCAGCCTATTATTCCCAACTGCTTCATCCTAATTATAATTTCCACTCTTCTTCTGCTAACTCATCCTCCACTACCACTTCCTAGATACATATTATTACTTTTTAATTAATTATTAATATTTTAATTTGTACTAGTACTAATCACCTTTGAGTTATTCTCATCAAGCCGCTTTGTATATTTCATCTTAATGTTATCAAATTACCACACACAACAAGTTCATCTATTAATTAATAATCATACAAAGCATCGGGTTGGGTCGATTTGATCAAATTAAATAACTTTTAAATCACATATATGTTAGCCATATGAGAATACACACACATAAATATAAAACTAACATATGTTTATGACGCATCCTTTACTTAACTAATTTTTTTTCCCATCGCAAATCAATTTTATGCTTAGATAGTTGACGTGAAAAGTATCACCCCAGTTCTATTTATATGACTTTTGGTATATTTTAGGAAGAATTGCAAATAAAGACTCTAAAAATATAAAATTGTCATTTGGATTCTTGAATTTAAAAAATTATTGTTAGAAATCGGATCTTAACTATGAATAGCTAAAATATTAAAAACTCCTTTAAACTTTGAGTCATTTGCATATAATCTCCCTAATGTTTCAAAGTTTAAATTTAGCTTCCTTAATATTATAAATTTTTTTACCTTAAGCCCCCTACCGTTAATTTTGCCACCAAGTCTCAAGCAGAAATTGCCACGTCAGAATAACGAAGTGGATGTGGTATCTTCCATAACATCCGACATGGCATCAGCATGAGTTAATAATTTCTTGATAATTATATATTTCTCCGGTCTTAAATGTAAGACCCTTATATGTATATAAGAGTCTTACATTTAGGACCGGAGGAGTACTGTTTATAGAAGGGTTAAAATGTCATTTTGTCATCAAAAGTAACAAGCCCTCATTTCCCTTCTGCTCCATGCTGCAGGTTGACATTTTGATTTTCAGGGTGTTTGTGTTTTCTTCAATTGCTTGTACTGGTTTATGCATGTTATCAATGTTCATGTCCCCATTGAATCATCTCTTTGCAAACGTCTAGCCTTTGTGCTTTATTCCATCTTTGTTATTTAGGAGCACGCTACATATATCCCATCATGGTTTTAGATTAGTTGTGAATAGTAACCTACATTTGTATCGTATCATGAGAGTTACTCTAAGGGGGTGTTTGACTACTTCAAATCATCATTTTGGAGAAAAACCATGGTTTAGACAATCATCCAAATATCATGTGTTTTTTACAAAGTAACTTTTAAATTGAAAATCATGGTTTAATTTTGTTTTTAACTAGAGGGGTGTTTGACCTCTAAATTTTGAGTTAAGTTATAAATTTGCTCTAGAAATGTTTACCTAGAAGCACTAAATACTTGAAAGTTTTTTTTTTAAATGTGAATTGATTTTGAAAGTTTAAAACTGTCATAATATAGCCTTTTTTATCGTTAAAACTTAAAAGACTAATGTTGACCGTTAAGACAATGACGTTAACTATTAACATTGCTAAGGAGGAGACAATATTATTATGATTTTAACGTTTGAGGCAAATTTACGTAAAAAACTTTTAAAACTTTTAAACTTTTAAGATAAATTTATACTCTCTTGGTCCTTAATATAAGACCTAATTATTAAGTTAATTTTGGTTCTAAATATAAAACTTATTTATCATATATATTAATTTTTTCTAAATTATCTCCATGGATATTCCCTCAATCATGATTAAGTAGAAGAGGAAAGGAGAATATTAAGAAAGATGATTATGATGTTTTAGAAAAACATGTAATATTTTTTTATAATTAGCTAACTTATCTAACTTTTTAAATCTAATCAAATTAGTTGAATAAATCTTATACTACCTCCGGTCCTAATTATAAGAACTAGTTAATTAATTTGAGGAAATTAAAGAAGTAAGTTAAGCTGGTTATTTGTCATAAATAAATGTTGTCTTTCCTAAAATGTCATTGCTAATCAAGTGTATTGATTAGAATTATTATTATTAGAAGGACTACCTTAAAAAAATGTATAAATATAAGAGACAAAATAGATTGTAATTTTATATTTAGAATAAAAATAAAAATCAAATAAATAAATACCTGCAAGTGTTAAAGACCGGAGCAATACTTTCTACCTAAATTTTTTTTCAAGAAATCTCCAAGATATTGGACTTGAACCTTTCTCATTTGTCGGTGAACGTGATGCCGGGCGCGAGCAATGGAAAACGGAAATGTAATTAAAAACGACGGGAAAAGGAAAGCGAAATGCCGCATTCACGTGGGATAAGCGCGATCGCGTTCTTTCAAGTTTTGTTGCTCGCGACTCCCTTCTCGATCCGCACTATTTTTGTCTTAGGCCTCTCTGAACATTGCAGATTGATGACAAGTCTTCTGCAAGTTGTCAATTCACTGTCCTGTTCGGATAGCTTGTGAATTTTTGCCAACTTTGAGCGAACTTGCTTGACCTTCTCCTGGTCGATTCGTTTTTGGTTATTTGCTTCGTGACTTCTTGTCAGATCCGTCGACCAAAGTGGATGATTTTCCGAGAAGTGAAATAATGTGTTATATCTAATTTCTGCTAGGAGATTGACTTAATCTTTACCTCAGACGGATTTTAGAATGGAAGTCGGAATTTACATGCTGAGAAATTGGTCCTTTTCGTGAAGATTGAATCCGTTACGGGTTGATGTGCCGGGGAATTGTTTCAGGTTTTGTTTTGTTTTCGTAATTGCGTTAGAAGCTAAATTTGTAAGGAGTGTCTGGAGGAAACCATGTTCTGGAGGGAACGCGAAAGGGAGAACAGCAGCCAGAGCGGCGGGCCGCCGTATGGGCAGATTAGAGTGCTCGTTGTTGGTGACTCAGGTGAGTGATTTTTCCATTCTAGTATTCTTTCCCAATCTTTTTGTGCTTAAAGTTTGCTATGGCGTCGACTATTCTTAGAGTGTAGCTTGTCGACCAAATTTCAAAATTATGTGCTGTGAACGAAAGTAAAGTTATTTATCTCTCAACCGATAGCATGTAGTAGTTGTGCTGTAAATATCTTTGGGGCTTCATGGTAGTGCCGCTGACAACCTTAGATAAGAATAGTGAAACCAGGTGATTCCAGGAATTACATTACACCAATCGACCGGCACATAGTCTGTTGTATGCAAGGTGACAGAAATCCAATTTTTAGTGCATTACATATATTTTCCATTCAGCTAGGGCTTTAGAAAATGTATTGTCTAGGCAGATTTTAATATTGTCAACGACTTATTGTGTTTGAGAAACAACTTGAAGATGGTGGGAATTGCAAATAATATTTCTGTGGCAGTTGTCCTCAACTCACTCTATAATTTCTTTTGACAAACTTGAGTCCTATCTATGTGGTTTGTCAGAGTTATCGTAGAGAAGTCTTTCTGGTTAATATATCAGCTTTACATGTTGGAAATCTCTGATTCTGGGAAGTTATAGACTCTGGATCGATTTAAACTGCAAATTTCTAGCCTGAATTGGTTTGACTAAGTTAATTCAGTATTTTGACCAGTTCTGATGGATGGATTCAGCAGATGACTGCGTGATTTGATACAATTATTTAATCACATTTTTTTATATATTTTAAATGGAAAGGCATTCTAAAATATAGGAGCGAAGAAACTGTGGCATGAATTATTAATCTGGCATAAATCATATTTTGCATGCATGATAGGCATTGGCTATTTCATCTCGTGAATAGTAAATAATGGTTTTTGATTGGGCAGCCATTGATCAAAGCAAAAAGTCTTTATAATTTTGGCAGAGAGGGAACTGCCTCGTTTTCTATAGACATAAATGTAGAAAGTTCCATAATTATAGCAGGGGACTAGGTACGGCGTGTAGACCGCCCATCCATAGGAAAATCCATGGTTTCAAACTCTTTATTACTAAATCCACGGGCACCATATGGCTCTTTTAAGTATGTCAGTCATATCATATCCACGTTTTTCTTTGCTGATGAGTCCTATGCTGCAGTCATTTTGTATTTTGATGTTCTTGCAGGTGTTGGGAAGACTTCCTTAGTTCATCTGATCATCAAAGGTTCTTCCATTGCTCGCCCTCCTCAGACAATAGGTTGTTCAGTTGGTGTGAAGGTAAAGATTCCCCGCTTTCTGGTCACACAAGAAAATGCATAGTTGTTGCTCTAGTACAAATCTTCACCAGGTGTCCCATGCATTGTTGCTTTCTTCCAGCACACTTCTTATGGAAACTCTGGCAGCTCTTCAAATAATCTTAAAGGTGATTCTGAGAGAGGTTTCTTCATTGAACTTTGGGACGTGTCTGGACATGATCGGTACAAAGATTGCAGGTCTCTGTTTTATGCACAACTTAACGGTGAGTGATAATTAATAATCTACCTTTTTGTCTTAATTATTGACACATTAGGAAGAAGTTGCGTGTTTGCTATGTAATATAGGGTTAAGTCTTCAAAGAGGAGAAAATGATTTCTGATACTTTAATAACCACCTAATGTATCTTTGACTTCTCTTTTTAAGCCCTATATATTCAATATAATAAATGATATTGAATTAAACTTTAAATGTTATCTCTTAAATGAGTTTGTCGCACCATTCAAAATAACTTAATGGAAAATCAGAAACTATTAATCTGTATCTGAAATTTATCTGGAATTGGTGGTTTGAATCTCAGTTGCATGGCACACTTCTGCTACTATTTTCTATACGAGCGTCCATATTTCGATGGTAGTTGAGTTTATGGAATTTTCTACTACTAGAATTCATTTGTAATTAATGAAGCCTCAATAATCAATTACGTGAAACTTGAATATCTATTTTTGAAACTGAGGTTTTTTTTATTGAAACTTAATCTGCAGGTGTAATTTTTGTTCACGATCTCTCACAGAGAAGAACAAAGGCTAGCTTACAGAAGTGGGCAGCTGAGATTGCTGCAACCGGCACCTTTTCTGCCCCTTTGAGCTCTGGTGGTCCTGGTGGTCTTACTGTTCCCTATATTGTTATTGGTAACAAGGTTGATGTTGCTTTAAAAGAGGGTAGAAGAGTAAGCAGCGGGAATCTTGTTGATGTGGCCCGCCAATGGGTTGAGAAGCAGGGTTTCCTTCCATCAAGTGAGGAGATTCCTCTGACTGAGAGTTTTCCTGGTAGCGGAGGGTTAGTTGCAGTAAGTGTCTCCACAAAAATTATTATATATGTCATTTTTATTTGTGACTTCGAGTTATGATTTCCAATTCTTCACAATTAAGATAGTGTGCTACTTCATGAAAACTTTGTGTTGAGTCAGAATTCGATAATATGCAATTTTATGTTAATGGCTTTGGATTTCGAAGTACATGCTGATATAGTGGCATTTTGAAATTTTTGTTATGCTTGCTTTGTATTTTAACAACTATCCTATACTTGATGTATAGGTATACGATAATGCACTTAGATGATTACCATGAATGATGAACTTATCTGTGTTGTTCCACTGTGCTTTGAGCTTTGGTTTTGAACTGGAGAGGCTAAATATACACTACATGGGGATTTTGATTTCTCTTGCAGGCATTCAAAACCTAAATTAAGTGATGTAACTAAGATATAGCAAGCCATATCTGATAATTGACAACACTTAATGTAGGGATCTGTTATGCTTGCATTTTGTATGGAAGTTTTTGATATGTTGGTTTGTATCCTGGACATCTGCAGGCTGCAAAAGAAGCAAGGTATGACAAGGAAGCTGTGATGAAATTTTTTCATATGGTCTGTATACTATCTAATATCCATTTTTCCCCTCTCGTAAATAAATGAATGGGGTGTCATCTGACTTTTCTAGTGCCTTTTCTTTTAGTTGATCAGGAGGAGATATTTCTCAGATGAAATACCTGCACCAAGTGCCTGGTCCATTTCTTCGGTTCCAAGACCTGCTCAGCGTATAGATGACGACGACAATGTGATTGATGAAGATGATCAGTCTTCTATTGCAAGGTATGTTCTGCTTGCCCGGCAAATCATTTTGAAGCCGTAGCTCCATCTAGTTTCTTTCTTTAGTTGGTTTTGCATCACTTCTTAGAAACATTCATTGGTGACTGCAGTCAAAGGAGTGATTCTTACATGTACAACGTACGTCCACCCACTTGGGCTCCCGGTAATCTTGCTCCACCCCCTTGGGCTTCGGGTAATCTCGGTCTGCCACCCATGCTTTACTCTCAACAGCCAGCTTCAATATCTGAAAGCTATAGCCTCCCAAGATTTTCTTTTTCTAGCTCCTCGGAGAGTGGGGCAGGCACTAGAACAAAGCGCTCAGATATTAATATCTGAGGACCTCTGCTTTGGGTAATTGTTCATTTGTTGATGCACTGATGTATTGTTTTGCTTAGAATGAAGTCATAACTTGGTGCAATGGCTTCACTATTTTACCTGTAAGTGGCCAATTGATTCTTTCTTTTTTTTTTTTTTAGAGGCTTTATCAATACAAAGGGTGTTTCGGGAAGCATCTATAGTTAAGATCGATTCTTCTGTATTTAAAATTTAGTTTATCTCTTCAGAGTTTCAGCAGTACATTTTCTGTAAATGTAAAGGAATTTCCTAGTTGATAGAAGCTTATATATACAGTTTTTTTTTTTTTTTTTGAATGAAACAGGAAGACAATTCATTAATTAGTCCAGGGTCTTACAATGCTCAACCTATAATCATCTACCACCTCGGCGCAACGGGGGTGGATGATCTTTTTTGCTGATTAGTGATTTCCTATCAAATAAGAAAATGAGGCAACTTGAACATATGACATGCCAATGGGAAACTCCATTGGATGATCTTGCTTCATGATATATATACTATTTCTGGTTCTAGTTATAAGATTTTGTTTGTAGACTACAAACGAGATTTTATAATTAAAACCAGAGGAAGTATTATGTAATCAGCCTTCTTTTGTTTTGTGTCGAAGGGGGTATGAAGCTGCGCAAAAAATATATACCGTTCTTGTTTTCTTAGCATGGTGGATAAATGACAGCAGTGGATTGAGAAGAAAAAGAGGTAAGCCTCCGCCACTCTTGTTATTTTGAACATGGGGACGAAGATAAGAAAGAAAGAAATAAATAACTGAAATTATCACCCAAAAAATAAATAACTTACTGAAATTAAATAAAGTAGTATTCTAAATATAGGAGAAACAATTTGCATTTTAGTTGTTTTTTAAATCAAAAATAAAAAATAAAATAATTTTTCAAAAAAAAATTAAAAGACAAATGGATTTTATCCCAAAAAAAAAAAAAGCAATCTTCTCTAGCATACTTGTGGCCGAGGCAAGAAGGACAGGTGCAGTAGAAAGGGGAACGCGGCGGGAGAAGACAAATGGCCTTCAATGTAAGAGATCAATAAAATCAATATAAACACTGCAATTAGGAATCAACGAGCACCAGTGGTCTAGTGGTAGAATAGTACCCTGCCACGGTACAGACCCGGGTTCGATTCCCGGCTGGTGCATTTCGAGGGCTGTGAGGAGATCCTCGCACGTTCTGTGGTTGGTGTTCAATCACATGCGTCTGATCTAATTGGATGATCTGTCTCGTGCATCTGAGCTCTCCCTTTTGTTTTTGGTTTTGATTATTTTTTCCCCCAAACATTCGCCTGTAGAGGAAAGAAATCTCCTTTTTATTTTTTTTATTTTTAAAACATTGGCCTGTAGAAGAAAGAAATCTGTGCGCAGATGAAGCTTATTTTAGAATTGAGCCTCTAGTAATTACGTTTGATAACCTTTCGCCCTACCACAAAACCTTCACAATTTAATTAGAAAGGGAAAAAAAACTTCTCAATATTTTCTTTCATCGAAAACCCCTTTGAACAACAACGTTTTAACCATGGAAACTTATACTTTAAAAATAGCCATTTACTATGAGAATGGTCAAAGTTCTGTGAAGAACAATATCAAAAAGTAGTGCTGAGCAAAGGGTAAAATATACTAATTCTGGTATTTAATATAAACTTAGTTAATTAATTTTAGGAGATTAAAAAAACTAAATAATTTTAAAGTATTTATATTTATCATTTTTTTTAAAATTAGCTAATTTGTTTTATTTATAAATTAATATATAATCTAATGATGCACATAAGCATTTTAGAAATCATGTAACATATGGTTAATTTATTTAATTTTTTTAAATTAGTTAACTAAATCTTATATTAAATATCGAGATAGTAATTTATTATGAAGGGGGCAAAACTTCATACTACGTACTTAATGGAAAATCCAATTGATTAATTTGAAAAAAATAAAAAATTTATTTTAGTTAGTTAATAATAATAAATGTGACTTGGTGTTTCAAAAGTACTCTTAGATAAAATTTTAAAAAATACAATACCTGATCAGTAAAAGCTCACGCCATGTATAATTATTTCATACCGTTACTAATATATGTATGAGTGCTGATACATGTGAGGGTTAGAGTTGGTAATATGAGTTGGACTCATAAAAAATGATGGGTTATGATTGGCTAAAAATCAATCCATAATAAACGAATCTTTTTAACTCGCACCGTAAAGCCCGTAACTTGTTGCGGATTAGCCCACCAACCCGCCTTTATTTTTTAATTATTATAATTATATTATTATATTCTATCTAAAAATTAAAAAATACTTATATAATTTATTTGATGTTGTCATTCAAAAAAATCTCATTATATGTCTTAGATATTGTACAAGGAAAATATAATTAAAAAATACAAAAATAAAAAAAATTTATTATTGACGGGTTGGCCCATCAATCCAACTCATATGGGTTCAACCCATAGGTTGGTACATATTACTTAGGGGTGTTCACGGGACGGATCGGGACCGGGACAGGCCCGTCCCGGTTCCGTCCCGGTGAACAGTAACGGGACATATTTTCTGTCCCGTGTCCTGGCCCGTCCCGGTCCTGGTCGGGACGGGACCGGGACGTCCCGAAATTATTATTTTTTAATTTTTTTTAATTTTTTTTAATTTTTTTTAAAAATCTGATTTTTTTAATTATATTTTTTTGAGCTTAAATCTTATAAAAACATCTTTTTTTATTTGTTTGGGCACTCTTAAACAAAAGCTCAAAATATTACATATAATAGTTATTAAAAACTCTAAACAAAAGCTTTTAACACAATAAAAACTTGCTAAAAATTCTAATCATCAATAATCTCAAATCATTAACAAATATAAAAACTCTAAATAAATATATCCATAATTCCATACAATAGTCTCAAATCTTAAAAAAAATATGAAAAAAATGATATTATATAAAAATTAAAAAAATTAATTTTTTTTTAAAAAAAGGAACCGGGACGGAACCGGGACGGGACAACCCCATCCCGTGTCTCGTCCCGTCCCGGTCCCTTTTTTGTCCCGTCCCGGTTTGTTCCGTCCTGTCCCAATAAGACCGGGACCGGAACGGGCCGACCGGGACGGGCCGGCCTTGAACACCCCTAATATTATTACTTACCTATCCTACTTTTTTATTTTTTGGGCCTGATCACCTGTCTTGCTTTGAATTAACATATTATTAAAATATATTTCACATCGTTACTACATAAATCACTTCTGCTTGGCCCAAAAAAAAAATCACTTCCAACATCTCACTCGAGCAAACGAAAGGTGGTTAGATTATTAATTACTACATTTGGTTCTTAATATAAGAGCTGGTTGATTAATTTGGATAGATTAAAAAAGTTTGTTGAGTTCGTTATTTATAATAATTATGTATTATCTTTCTTAAAATACTCTTACTAATCATATATTAGCTACAACTACTATTTAATTGAACATTTAATATGTGCAACTACTACAAAATTATTTTGAAAAAAATAGATAAATATGAAAGATAAAGTAAATTTGAGTTTTATATTTATGATTAAATTAAAAATCAAATTAGCTTTTATATTCAGAATCGGAAGAAATATTAAATTTGTAGAGACGCGCAGAGAAAGTAGAATTTTGCTATGTGTAATATCTATTTGAATTATTGTGGTAGTATTTAATTATAGTTAATAAAATAAATAAGAATAGTTTGAGAAATAAATAAATAAATATGAGAGACAAAATAGATTAGAATATTAAATTTAGAACCAAATCAAATATCTTACAAATTTTGGTCTTAAATATCTACATTAATTCCATTATTCTTTTTCTGCTTTTAACTAATTGCAGTTTTTTGGCCCCAAAAAGAGTGAAAAACTAACCACATCACAATTTGAAAACTTCAAGCATTGACCCCTATGTACATGCAAGACGAGAGTCCCCTGTTTCGTCCACGTAGCAAGAACGTGTCCGATCTTGAGAACCCAGACTCTGCAAATTACGTGCCGAAGTGAAAATTTCTTTCCTTTTCACTTCTCTTTTCTTTGGTACTTATCCCCCTAGAAAGAAGCAGCATCATGATGGCAAATTTAAGTAGAAACGCTGTGCTTCTATTTCTTCTCTTCTTCATCGTGGTGGTTCTTCAATTCCAGATCGCCGTTCAACAAGGCGGCGCCGGCCACCCTGTCGTTCAAGATGAACAAGGATACCCCCTCTTACATAAGTATGTTCTGGATACTGTTTCCCTACTCAAAAAGTCTCACAAAAGCTCGTGGGAGAAGGTCAAATCTGTAATCCATGACCTTCAGATGAAGTTCTCTCCTCCAAATTTGGAGTAAGTTTTAACGGTTTGTTACATATTTCTTTTGGAGTTTCATTCCCTAGTCACGTTGATGTTGAACAGAGGACACAGCACGTGAAAGTTTAGAAATTAATTCGACATTTTTATTTATTTATTATTATTTTGTTTATATAATATGAAGTTGAAGAATAATTCATTTATGACTCCTGAACCTTGTATTTTTTCCCATAACCTCGTATATTGGCTAAACGCATTTTTAGTGCAGAGTTTGTAAATAATAGATGAGCTTGTCATAAGTTTAATGCTTAATATTGATTGATTTTAATAGGAATAGTAAAGGATTTGAGTCTGCACAAATTAGAAGGTTTTGATTCAGTGTTGCTTTAAGTTTTATAATAACTTAAATATTATAATATGCAGAAGAATAATACCAATCTATTCCATAGTTTGATAATGAAAGTTGAAAAAAGGAATTTCGTCTAAATGTATTGACTGTGTGTAACTGTAAATGATCTAACCTGAGAGAAATGTGACACCTTGTTGATCAGTTTCCGGGGAGCGAAGGAGGCCCAAAGTGATGGAATGAAAGAAGCAGCAGAGAAGAGCTTCCATAAAAGCAAAGAGACAGTGAAGGAATCTGCAAAATCTGCAGCAGAAATGATTGGAGATGCAGTTCACAAGACCGCACAAAAAGTGAAGGCTCCTTCCTCTGCCTCTGCCTCTGAGCGAGAGTCTGATTCAGAGCTTTAAATCTTTTTGTCACACACACACACACACTTGCACACTTATTTAATCAGTAGAAAACGATACTGTGAAACAATCTGTTTATCTTGAAGCTTCTGTTACCTTTCCAAATTTCATCCTTATCCAAACATGCCTATGATTGAACCACTCTATTGAACAACAAGAAGCTTAATTTTACCAAAGAAGCTTAATCTCACAGAGTTTTTTCTTTTTTCTTTTGGGGGGGGGGTGTGGACTATATAAATCAGACAACGCTGTTAACAATCAAATTTTTGGATAAATTGTTAATCCAACAGGTTCTACTCAACAACTTCATGAAGTACTCTTTCTGATTTTTCTTTACCTTGCCTCTTTTCAGACGACAGTCTAAACCACTACTTTATAAGCATCATAAATTAATTTGGATCACAAATATTTTTTTTTTCCCGAAAGAAAACAAAACCAGTGTAGAATTACATTAAAGTTGCATAATCTTCATGCAAAGTGAACTTTACAGAAAGCAAAACCCTCAAGGCACATCAGGACAAAATTCAACTCATTGTGTGGTATTCTTGACAATGTCACCAATCATAGTTACGAACAGGCATGGATTTCTCACACTGTGCCACAACTGCCTCCTCAGTCACAATCCATTCACTACTTTTCGGCTTGCCTCGGTCAATTATCTCAGAACAGCTCTGGAAGGATACAAAACATTAGTGCATGATAGGGACAAAAACAAAGGTTCACAGTACAGATCATTCTCCGAGTATAATTAAACTTTCTACGGCTAAATTGCATACATCGTCAAAGTAAACTTTGAGAGCACGATCCTAACAAATACCATCGATTTCAACGTAAACGCTTGAGTTCAGACAAATTTGAGACAACTATTCGCCAGAAGCATGCATGTTTCTAGAGAAATGAAATGAAGATATTTAAATAAAACGCAAGATATGAAAAGGTAACTGGAAACATGGTTGGACTTCAACTTAAACAAAGTTCAGGAGTTTGGTTAACATATAGACAAGTCCAGTTTTGAGCACAATTAGAATATTTGCAACACCAATACCATTGTTCGCTATCTACTATTTCTTGTGATTGTTTAGCTTGTTAAAAGGTACCGAACACTTGTCACCTAAAATCAACAGGAGACGGCAGAATAATACTAACCTTGGAACAAGTATAAATCATGAGGGTCATCCAATCCCAATTTTCTACCAATCGTTTTTTGTCATCAGGTGCTTCTTGCAGAAAATATAGCAATGGAGGCATTAGCTGCATCTCAAAATTCCTCGGTTCGCCACATAGCTTGCACCTGCCAGGGTCTATCTTATCAACAGCAGCTAGAAGTGGCTTCCCACCATATGAATATCTGTACGCATGAAGGATAAGAAAAAGCATAATACAATGGCTTAGACCACGAATGTGGGAAGAGGAAGAACGGAAGGATGAAACAGAAACAAGGATAAATTGGAGTTTTTTTTTTTTTTTGGGGGGGGGGGGGGAGGGGGATAAAAAGAGACTGATAAAATTGAAGCAAGCATGCGTGTGTGCATGTGTTACATACCTGAAACACTGCTCTGGATGTGCTTCCAAGCGCTTCTTGAACTTGAGGTATGTTCTATCAGCAGTCAAAGCTCTATCATATTCATAAGATTCCTTTTCCCAAACTTCGTCCTCATTATCACTTCCATTCTCCTTAATGGAAAGCGATGAGTAGTTAGAACATATTGAACTAAGGCCCTCTGAGGATGGTTCTTCATGTACGTAGTATATATAAAAGCAAGGCACCACTGGAAACAACCATGACATCAATCAATGACTTCAACCCTAGAGCAGTGTCCATAATGCCTAAAGAAACATGTAAACATCTTTTCACGTAGATAGGTTACTTCACTGTTTGTCTTCTTTCAATAAAATCTACTTGCACCTTTACACATTCTAACAACAGCTATTCTCCGATACATTCCGTATTTTCTTGTACCTTAACTAATTAAGTTGACATTAACTTAGGACGAAGTGAATCTGTCTCGCCTGAAATATTGTAATTGACTTAAAACAGAAAGATAGAAGAAAGAAATAGTCTGACTAGCATGAGCACAGAAAAAGAAAAAAAGAGATGGGATCAGCTGATTAAGCACTGCCATTAATGTTAGTGAGTCTTGAAACCAGAGGTAGTAAAACATTAAGCCAGGGCTTCAATCTTGGCAAATTTTCTTGCTTAATGAAAATTTACCTGGCATATCAATATCAACCTCACTAACTCTAGGCTTCGGCGAAGAAGAAGAAGCAGTGTCAGTACGCGAACGAGAGACTGATTTTTTCCTGCTAGAAGCCAAAGTCCCAGCTTCAAAGAGAGCCTTGCGCAATTGCTCTAAATCCATGTCGTCGTCATCATTGACATCATCCAACCAGCTGGTACTTTGAACAGCAGGAGATGATGTAGTTGCAGAAGCCACTTCCAAATCCTGAGTGCAGGTCTTCTGAACTCGAAGAACCCGCCAGCTACAAGCCGCAAGTGGTCAAAACAGGAAATTCAGAGCATGAATCAACATAAGCAAAAATAATAATTCTTATCATTTAAATGCTAGAGCTACTCAAGAATAAATACAAAAAAACAACCTTTCTGAAGAACTTCCACATTTTGGCGTAAGACAACCTAAAACGAAAAGAAAGCGTTCCTGAATCTTTACAGTCTTATTTGATATTGGAGCATGAACCTGTATTGTGAGAAGACGGAAAAGAATACGTCACTCAGTACTCATTTCTTGGGAATTTCCAAGTAAAGTCGTACGGTGGAAAAAGGAAAGACCTGAGCAACAAGACAAAGTTTAATCCCACACGCACCACACTGAAGCAAATTAGCTTGTATTGCCTCCTTGGGAAGGGGCCAGTCCTGTTTAAGGAATAAAAAGGGATCAGATCCTTCTGAAAATCATGTTGAATTTGATAGACACCGCAATGACTTACAGGAACTCCTCCAACTTTTGTTGTGTAATGATCAGCTGATTCGTAACAGTCTTCAGCCCATGGCCCTGGCATTCCCAGAGAAACCACATCCATTGCTCGGTCTAGTACAATGAGAGCATAATGAAAGCATCGCAGTAAGTTTCAATTAATCAATAATATGAACTCCAAAAACAGATGACATAGTAAACTGTAACCCAAAAAGAAGCGATCAAACGAAACAATTACGCCGATTAATGGAAAATCTAGCATTCAAATTGTAATCTGAACAACAGTTATCAATGAAACAATTAATAGGAAGCCTAGAACAAGGAGAGAGAGAGAGATCGAAGAACAACAACAAAAGCTTAAAACGTACAGAATTACACAGGAGTCAGTCAAAACAAAAAGGAAAATAAAAAATCACCACGCAACAATCCAGTGAATGGAATTTGAACAGATGAAACGGGGGCGAAAATCTGTGTCTTTTGCTTAGTTACAAGTAACAACACTCCCGCGCTTCCCTGGTGCTATGCTGGATTAACAACAACTTGAACGACGAGAGTGATAAGTTTCTTTCAATGTTTTCTTATCAGAGAGTGTGTAGTATCATATGGACGCACACACATACGAATCAGAATCTTCAAAGGAAAGCAAGAGCTACAGGCAAAGATGAACGGTCATTAACGGTGGCCGCGGGAACCGAAGGCCGGAGCGCCAGCTTGAGGAGTGGCAATTGGAGGCTTGGAGCCAGGGTTTAATATATGGGCGAGCATATTAAGCTGTGGCTCGGCCCGTTTAGCAACGTTTTTGGAAAATTATTTGTTCTTTTTTTGGCCAGAAAAATTAACATGTTCCTTAATTTAAACATTTTTCGATTTATTTACTGAAAAATTACTTATTGAATTTAATTTGTTATAATTTTTTTTATTTTAACATCTTATAAATAGATATATTTCTTTCCTGCCTTTGATTTCATTTATAATAGATAGATGCTAGCTGTTATATTTTTCACCTAAAACTAACTAAAAAGATAAAAATGATGCAAAGGGTAGATAAAAAGTTCGAGATTCAAATCCCTTCTAAATAATAAAAATAATGTTATGTCTGCCACCAAATATTAGTCTAGTCACCTTTATTTTAAAATACACATCCCTTCTTTTCAGAGACGTTAATAACATGGTAAATATTTTATTTTATAAGATATACACACACCTCTAACGCTGGAATATAATAATCTGTTTAGAACAGCTTATAAGTAGCTTTCAATCGTAACTTACAGAATACGAGACAAGTATATGAGAAGAGTTTTGTTTTGACTTATGTAAAACGTGTTTATAAGTGATTTGTACCGCCATTCCAAACAGGCCCTAAATAAAATAGCCAAAGATTATCACAGCTCCTAAAGACCTGTTTGTCATGGCATATAAATAGTTTTTTAATAATAATTTATGAAATATAAAGTAAGTATATAAGGAGTTTTATCTTAATTTACGTGAAACATGTTTATAACCGCCAACCCAAATGAGCTCTCCTCTGAGTTGTCTAGGTGTTCGTTGTTAATCAAGTATCAGAAATTACAGTTTAAGGGGAACATGATGCTTGAAGCCTTCAAGGCTAAGTAAGAGGGATGATGGTTAAAATCCTGAAATTTTCATTTGAATATGACAATTAAGAACATGGGTTCTTTTCTTCTCTTTCTTTCTTTCTTTCTTTTTTCTTTTTTTTTTGAAAAAAGTTGAAATTCAAGAAAAAGGGTTGGTTAACCAAACTACCCTATTCATGTAGAAGTTGAAAATCCTAAAAAGCTAACTCCAAAATCTGAAAGCGATGTTGGATACTCATCAATGTACACCTTTTTGCAATCTTCCTTCGGACTCTGCAATCTTTATTAACCAACCAATCATTAGAACCTGAATATTGGAACAGTTCTGATGCTGTAGTCTACGCTGTCAAAGTTGGGATTGTACATGAAGGAAGCAATTGGGAAAATCAAAGAGTGGGACTAGATTCAGAACTCTTTCAAGAAAACGCAGTTGGCGAGTCAAATGAGCAAAAAGGAAATAAGGAAGCTGCCAATATATACGTGTTTTGATGTGTATATACAGAAAGTTAATGAAGGATGGGACATTATTAGTCTGAAATGTAATAACACGGGCACAGAAGACGATGGCAATAACCAAGCTTCTATATTCCATCA